AAAAATTTCCAATACTCTTGAACACATAAGTTTAGTACTGAAACAAAAAAAGCTTTCAAAATGTCTTTAAGATAATATTTTTCCAACTGCACATATCAGCAGTTTTTCTTTTGCAACATTATCATCCTTAAATATTAATGAGTGAGAGCATCAGGTGAGATAAATGAAGGCTGAGGAGAGGAGTCAGTGTTAAGAGAGCTTGCCATGTCAGCATGAGGACCTGAATGTGAGTCCTCAACGTCCACGTAAAAGGGAGATGCAGCCGTGTTTGTCTGTAGCCCTAGCTTTAAGGGTTGAGATAGAAGAAGCCCTGGGGCTTGTCTCATAAGAATAAAGCTGAGAATGACAGAGAGATACAATTTTATATACATTCATTCTCTCTCTCTCTCTCTCTCTCTCTCTCTCTCTCTCTCTCTCTCATACACACACCAATTTTACTTTTTTTTCAATAGTCTTGTGTTAATTTTATAACTAAGGGCCCAAAAGTGCTGACAAAAATGTCTTTCTGAATTGCAAGGGAAAAGAAAAAAAACATGTAGTGTCTGTTTGGGTTAAGGCTTTACCCAGCCCCTGGCATCCATATACCCGAAGAGTCTGGGATGTTTGGGTGAAAGTGTCACCCCAGCCCTTGGCACTCCTATACCCAAAGAGTCTAGAATGTTTGGGTTAAGGCTTCACCTCAGTCCCTGGCATCCATATATCCAAAGAGTCATCAGTCTTATCCCAGAATCCCCACAGCATGAACTATGACAGCACTGAAGTTTACACTGTTTAGATACTTTACAGAATTTAGACTGTAAATATTTTTGTCCCCTAAATGGAAACAATCCTTTCTATATAGTAATTCTCTGCATGGTCATGAGAAAGCATAGAAAAACAGCTAGCTCCCCTAGGAAAAGCCAGCCAAGGAGAACCTAAACATTCATAATTCAAAGTCCAATAATTCACTCTTTAAAAAACAAAGATTTATTTTTATGTGTAGAGATATGCTTTTCTTGCATGTATGTCTGTATATCACTTGTGAACCTAGTGCCTGTGGAGGCTGGGAAAGGGTGTTGGATCCCCTGGAACTGAAGTTACAGCCAGTTGTGACCCATCATATGGTTGCTGAAAATTGAACCCAGGTCCTCTGGAAGAGCTGCTAGTGCCTTAATTACTGAGCAACCAATCCAATCCAGCCCCACAACTCACTACCTTAAAACAAACTTATTTTCTTTAACTCAATGATCTTACAAAGGATTTTCTATGTGTAGTATTCATCTAGGTTTTTGTTTGTTGTTACTGCACAGTCTCATAAAATTTCTGAGCCATCCTCAAGCCATCATCTCTATCATTAAAAGAAATGATTAAGACAGTGGATATGGTGCTAGTGAGACGGGTCCATGGTTAAAGGCACTTAGCAACATGACCGAAGACCTTAGCAACATGACCGAAGACCTTAGCAACATTAAAGACCTGAGTTTGCCCTCAGCACTCGTGCTGTACAAACAGAAAAATGACTCTTGCAGGTGGTACACACATACACAGAGAGAGAGAGAGAGAAGCAATACAACTTTTAAAAAGATGATCAATATTTAGTGTATTAGTTACTTTTCTTTTATTGTGTGTCTTAAAAAGGGTTTCTCTATTGCTGTGAAAGGCACACCATGACCACAGACATTCTTATAAAGGAATACATTTAATTTGGGTGGTGGCATGCAGACAGACATGGTACTGGAGAGGTAGTCGAGAGTTCTTACATCTTGAATTACAGGCAACAGGAAGTAGTCTGGCTTGCTGGGCACAGCTTGAACATACCAGAGACCTCAAAGCCTACCTTCACAGTGCAACACACTTCCTCCAACAAGACCACCCCCACTCCAACAAGGTCAAATATCCCAGTAGTGCCACTCCTCTTGGAGTCTTTCAAGCTACCACAAAGAGATAAAAATAAAAAAAAAAACTATGACAGTGGCAACTTATAAAAGAAGCATTTTAATTGGGCTTAGGGTACCAGAGCATTATGGTACACAATGGTGGAAGAAAGGCACAGAGGCAGGAGCAGGTGTGAACACACATCTACAAGGAGGCAGAGAGCTAACTGGGAATGGCACTGAGTCATCTGCAGTCTCACAGTCTTTACATCACACACCTCCTAATCCTTCCCAAACAGGTCTACTAACTGGGGCCCAACCATTCAAATATATGACTTAAGGGTGCCGTTCTCATTTGAACCACCACATGCTGTATCTTAGCCTTCTAACAGAATTTCCTGCCCTTTGAGATTCTGCGGAGAAAGATTAAAGAAAACAATGCCCAGCAAGGATATACTAAGTTTATGTAGGACATACTAAGGATATGCATGAAAATGAAATGACCAATGTCTAATACAAGTCACACATAACCCAAGCTGGTACCAAACTCGCTCAGTATAAAGGAAGAGACCTCAAACTTGTGATCTTCCTGCCTCCCCTACCTACACCATACCTGATTTTTGTGGTACTGAAAATCAAACCCAGGGTTCCACGCATGCTAGGTAAGTAATCTACTAACTGAGTTCCATCTCCAACCTTCGTTTCCTTAAAAGAGGAAATATAAAGAAACTTAACAGAGATTAGTAATCATGGGATCAGGCTAAGATCTCACCATTTTTAATGCTGAAAATTGTCTAAAGCAAAACTATATCATAAGTAATTACAAGGCAATCAAAAGGTATACCCTAGAACAAATTTAAAAAGTCAATTCTCAGTGCTGGAGAAATGGTTTGGCATTGAAAAGCCCTGACTGCTCTTCCAGAAGCCATCCACAGGGTGGCTCACAGTAGCCTATATAACTCCAGTTAGAGGGGATCCAACAGGCACAGCATAGTGGTACACAGACAAAACACCCATACACATAAAATAATAAAAAGGCATCTGTAGTAACATTATTAAAGTTGTATGAAAAGGTACTTGTATTCAGGAATAAAGCCCGAAGAAGTCCCATATGTCATACAGTTCAGGCAAAATGAGGATAATGTGCTCTAGAAAAGTGTTACACACACACACACACACACACACACACACACACACACACTTAGACTGGGTCTCATTATGTATGTAGCTCTTGCTGTTCTGAAATTCACTATGTAGACCACCTGCCTCTTCCTCCCCAGTGCTGCAATTAACACCAGGTCCAGTTAGTGTTCCATAATTAAAAGGAAGAGACCTCAAACTTGTGATCTTCCTGCCTCCCCTACCTCTAGGCAATTAGAGGGCACTGATAACAACAATTAGTAAGTAGCTACCTGCCAATAAAACACAAGATAGCAGCAAAGTTCACAAAACAAAATAACACAAATGAGGCTTGATGGCAAAAAAAGAAAAGACACAGTTGGTGAGATGGAATGGTAAATATGACCAAGATACATTGAAATACATTGCACCAAATTCTCAAAAAGAAAAAAATTAAGCAAAAACTAGTAATCTCGATATTTAAAAAAAATTGTAAGAAACAGATAAAATTATAATTTGAAATAAGAGGAAAAACTATTTCTCTAAGTAATTCTTTTTAAAGCCTTTATGTGTATGAGTGTTTTGTCTGTGTCTATGTAGGTGTACCATGGGCATACCTGATACCCTCAGAAATCAGAAGAGAATGTTGGATCCCCTGAAACTGGTGTTATAAATGTCTGTGAGCCAATTTAGACGCTAGAACCACACTCAGGTCCCTCTACAAGAGGAGCAAGTGTTCTTGATCACTGAGCCATCTTTCTAGTCTGTATTTTTAAATTATTTAAAAATATTTATATGGCAGACACGCAGAGTAAGGAAAGCCTTTGATACCAGCACTTTGGAAGCAGAGGCAACACATCTGTGTGTGCCAGTTACCTTGGTCTACATATGGTTGGTTCCAGGGAAGCCAGGGCAACAGAATAAGACTTTAAAAAAAAGAAACTATGCAATCAACTAACAACTTTATACAAACAAAAATTTGACTACTTCTTACATGTATATTCTAGCCAAAAAGGCTACCTATTATCTATGTCTGCTGCAAGCAGGCTCCCTGACAGGATTCCTCCTCCCCACTCCCAGCATGGCATCTTAACTGCATCCACATCCTCTCGCATCTGCTCTTGGCAACCTCACAGGCATCTCAGACTCGAGACATCTACACTATGGGATGCCTCTCAAAGTAAAAACAAAGGGGAAAAGTAAGAGCAGGCTCCCCTAAATTTTCCTCCATGAATAAAGACAAGTTCTATCCCAGCCGGTGAATCAGTTCTACTCTTTTTCGTCATTCACCCTTCCAAAGCTCAACTCACCATCACATTCCATAACCATCTTCTGGCCTCCAAGGGCACTTACACACTTACACAGGTGCACATGCACGTGTGCACGTGCACATACACACGCAAAGAAACAGATGGTATAACCACATATTCACACCCACACAGTGGACTAATTAATAGAAATCCTGGAACTTTATACATGAGAAAACACAAAACCACCTATGAATGAAAAGCCAATAACAAAAAGTGATCCAGACATCTCTTCCCTGGATGCCTGTTTCACAGAATTTCCTCACTCTCTCACAATGTCTACCTGACTATCAAAACGCTGGCAATCTTTGAGTTGTAAAAGACTAGGAGGTTCCTTGATCTTCACCCTGGTCTCTCTTCCATCTTATGTGGCATTCTCTATTTCCTGGTCACTTGGTGCTAAAGTGACTAGGTATCTTCTGTCTGGTATCACAGATATCCTCACTTGTAGCAAAATGTCTCTATTACTACACTGCGAGAAAAGTTCTAGTGCTTTCCAGTTATTCCAAAAGGCTCTGAGATTCTAGAAATAAGCTATGTTACACAACTTCATAACTTATTCTGTAAATAAATGGCAGCCTAGTTACCAGAGAAAAAAGACTTCCATGAAATGGCCCTGGAACTTTAACCACTGATTATACATTCAATGGAAAACTGTGTTCAGTTTTTAAAATGTCCCCCTGAAATGTGATTATTGTAAATTGGAGCCTGTCCATTCCTGAGTACTCTAATCAAGAACATTTAATAAATGGTAGAGGCAAGAACTTACCAAAAACGGTCAGGAAATACAGATACATAAAAAGGGACAAAGTAAGCTTTATTTAAAAAGCTACTCAAAACAAAGAACAAAGAAACTGTTGTAAAAAACTTATTACACATATTACTTCAATTATCTCATATTTTTAAAACTAAAATGCCAAGAGATCAAAAAGTAAGTTGAGTAATAATTTTAAAGGAAGCACCTGCTGACAAAGCACAAAATGAATGCAACGTCAAACCTATGTGCTCAATTATAGCTTCATTTGTAGACTGCTAAATCACAATCTAAGCTACGTAAAATATATATATATCATACTACTGAAGTCTTTTAAGATCAAAGTAAAAGCCCCATCATACAGATTTTTCTAAGCTCCAAACATACAATTCTATTTCTCTCAAATGTCTGTAAGACAGACAGGGTTCCAGTTTGGGGGACATGAAGAAACTCTTACTATTTACTACACATACTGCGGCACTATTTATTTTCCCTTCCATTAAATGTACTATTAGTTATGAAATGAAAACAATGGGAATACTAGGAATCTAGAGGATTTAACAAAAAGAGCAAGCATTAATAAAAATGCTCCCCCCCCCCAAAAAAAAACCTTCATTTCAGTCACAAAGAATGTAAGAAAATAAAGAGTTTTTGTTTGTTTTTTACTATAATCATCCCCCACCCTGAAATCACAAGTTAGGCAAAAAGAACCTAACAGTGAGAACTCAGGAGTGGGTACAGAAGAAATTACTATTATCGTCTTTTATAAGTGAATGTGTGTCTTACACGCAGAGGACAAAAGACAACCTGAGTCATCCATCCTCACCATCCACCTTGTCTGAGACAGAATCTCTTTGGTTATTTTCCACTACTTGTACCAGGCTAGCAACCCTAGAAACCTGCAGGGTTTACTGTGTCTATGCTTCCCATCCTCCACAAGAGCTCAGGGATTACACGTACTGATGCTTTTACAAGGTCTAAGGATTCAAACCCAGACCCTTATGCTTTGCAGAGCAAGCACTTTCACCCCGAGCCACCTCCCGGCTCTGTTACCACTTTCTACTGCATCTTCAACTCCTCACATATCTTTATGCAGTGGTTCTCAACACACGGTTTCCCAACCAGCAGTTATCAGCAAACTCGTTAAAACTGAACACTAGACAGGCATGTTGGCACACATCTTTAATCTCAACACTTTGCCAGCCTGGTCTACACAGTAAGACCCTGTCTCAAAACAAAACTTGAAAACTAACAAGCTTGTTCCACACCCACTCAATCTGAGAGAGAGTGGTAGAAACAGGGCAGGGATAAGCAGACACCTAGCCGGGTCTGAGATTGAGAACCCATAGTAAGGCATTGCACAATAATGCTTCTTGTAAGTATCCCCATGTATAAAAGAAGTTAAAATTATTACTTGGTTAAACATCCAGAATGCTTTACAATACTACCACACGGCTAATATTCATTTTTAATGAATTAATTTAAAAAAATATAAAACTTGGGTCAAGAGGAAGGACACACATATTTTTTTAATATTATACAGAGTGGTACAAAACTACAAATGTGTACTAATATAGAAAAGCACTGCATTACTTGATTTATTAATAAATGTCTATATTAAAGAGTCTAAAAGCTAAAGTTCTAATCTTCCTTGCTTACCTGTTTTGCAAAATTATGGCCTAAGTGCTTGTAATTTTGGTAGCAAATGTTTACTTTGAATGTGTTATATGGTAAACTGAAATGGATTTACTAGACAAACCTTATCCTGAACATCTACTTGCCAGGTATTTAAACATGGACATCAAATATACAGGAATCTCGAATTCTATCAATTCAAAACTGAATCATGTTGACCCACTCACCTCCCAGACTGTGGCACAGAATAGCCTATGGCAAAGCAGAACATTTTTTCTTATTTCTCCTTTACCTGCCACACCTCAATCAATCACGAAAGCAGATCCTTTGACTTCCAGAATAGTTCCTGATCCATCCTACCCACTACACTGGCACAGGCCTCCAGCATGTCCACCTGGGTTAATGGTTCTACTTCTTATCCAGTTAATTCTGTTCCCTCCATAAAGAGTCAACTTTTTCTACAACAGGTCTAATCCCATAGTGTCTCTCCACCACTTAAATTCCTCAAGGGCTCCTGGTGGCCCTCAGAATAAAGCATGAGATTATAATAGCTTTAATCCATCGATCTCTCTCTTCTACTGCAAATCTCTTACTACCTAAGCAACTCTAAGTGTACTGAATTTTGGTCATGGAAAACAGTATTCTTTCTTGCTCTACATGGTAACCTCTCTGACCGCTTTCTTCACTGGGTTAATCTCGATGTTTTATGATAAAAGGATTTTTGTTGTTGGCGTTGTTCAGTTTTGGTTTTGACACATGACCCTTACAATGCATCCCTGGCCAGCCTATAATTCACAGAAAGCTTCCTGCTTCTGCTGCTTGGGCATTGAGACGTGTGCTACCACGCCCAGAATGATAGTTTTAGCGTCTCTTTTATTTTTCATAAAGTTATGCTTTGTCACCACATACACACAAAAGTGCTATCAAGAACAGCACTTAGCATACTACATAGCAATCATGCGTCTTCTTCTAGATTCAAGTTTTACTAAGAATAGGAATCATATCTAATTTTTCAAAATTATACTCCTAGTGTCTAGGCAGCAACAAAGCATAAAATTAAAAACTTCAGCTCAAGTAAAAAAGACAACATGTCATAAGACATGAGAATTGTGGAAAATTACTTGAGCTCTCTCTTCCTATTTTTCCTCTTATATAATTTAAATAAGACAGTACAATCTTATAAGACTTAAGAAATAAACATTATTTGTGACATATGATGCATTTAACATGATGCTCAGTACCCAGAAAGTTGGCTGCTTATCCTGTTACAATATCAAAGAAAATATATGCAGAATAAATACACTTTATTCAAATTACCAATAAGCATTTAAATAATTCTAACATCACATAATTTATTATGTTTCCAAGTAATGTATATAATCTATAGGAAGGGTTGACCTTTATGTCCACATGGCACTACAGGGCTTTTTACAGTCAATATTTAGTTGAGTTATAAAGCAGAATGTTCAAAGAGAATGACCTGTGCCTCGTTATCAGGAACAATTTGTTTAAGTTCAATCTGCTGCAAGCCAGGACTTTCCAAAGAATTTGGGGAGGTATTACAAACTGAGGTAGGTACATTATACCTTGCTGATTGATAAAAGCTGTAATACTCAAGTCTATTTTCCACTGAGTTTTCTAGAGCCTTTAACTTTTGTTTAAACTGAATAACTTTGTAGATCAAAAAAAAGATTAAAACACAAGCTAAGATGAAAAAAGCTAGCAAAATGTCAAATGCCTCATTCAACTTCTCAACTTCTTGGGTACAAATTAGAGATATTTTTCCTGACACAGAAGAGGCATCAGTTGGTAGAGCACTGGTTTTCTCCAAGTTCAAGTTAACAGGAGTAGGCTGTATTTGCACAGGTAAAACTGTGGTCGTCTCTAATGCATTACCAAATGTATTCTCTTGAAAAAACCTAGTGGCAGATGAAGCACGAATCCGCTCCCAGACGGTAATGCTCTCGGTCACAGTGTTTTCCAAATGATTTCCACTTGCAGTTACTTTATGCCAGGCCATCATTAGTGCAGTGGTCTCGTGATGAATATGAAGAGATTTTACAGCCCAAGCTCTGGATATATTTGTCGAAGGTAAAGTGCAATTTGTAATGTCAGTCCATTTAATATAACATAATGCTGTGCCCCACATAGATAGGGGATTCTGACAACAGATGTTTACAGCAATGGCTGAAGAGGCTAGCCAGTCTCGAAGACCCAAAAGTTTGCGTTCACAAAATTGGAATTTCCCTGAAGATGAATCAATGAAGATAATGGCTTAGGGACCCTTGGATGTAATTCTGTAAGATTATTAAATGACAGATTAAGGATCTTCAAAGGTGCTCCCATATTTTAAATGTATCATTATCAATGTTTCAATTGTTTCTAACTTAAAATAATTTCCTTAACAAGCTAAATGCATCATGTCCAAATTTTCTAAATAGTTACCAGTTAAGATTAAATGTTTAAGACTACTAATTTTACTAAATCCATCCCTACTAACAATATAATCCTTACATGCTTTGGGGAGATACTTTACATGGATAACTCTTTTAAATGCAAAGAACTATCATTTTTCAAAAGGGCAGCAAGATAAGACAGTCTCAAGATTTGTAAGTACATTTAATGGTACTTTTGTTAAATTATTACTTTCTAGATACAAATAATCAAGGAATACAAGATACTAAAACTCTGAGATCAACATTCTTAATTTTTGTTGTTCAAAGAATCAAGAATCTGGAAACCTCTGTACCACTGCTGAGCACAGTGAAGCAAGACCTCTATAGACGTAGATACTGAGATAAACCAGATCATTAAGCAATCTTCTTGGAACAAAAAACACACAATAAGACTATAAATATAATTCAATGAGGATCTGACAGTCCCTTAAATATTTCAGGCTCTAAGCATTTTATAAAACTGTTTAGAGACAGAACATATAAATGACCTAACAAAGCCTTTTAGATATTCATACATAATATTTAGAGTTATCCAAATGCAATGTTGCAAAAGAATTAAGTACTATAAGTTCACTTTCACTTATATGAGACATTATTCCCAATAAGTTACAGAAAAACTGTACTTTCAGTAAAGTTCTAAGGAGTATAAAAGGCCTGTGCCTCTCTCTCTCTCTCTCTCTCTCTCTCTCTCTCTCTCTCTCTCTCTCTCTCTCTCTCTCTCTCTCTCTCTCCTCTCTCGTAAGGAAACACACACCCTAGTAATCCTTTATACAATAACAATACAAAAAAGCAGGTAACAACCAGAAAGACATGTAGGCAAAGCAGAGAAAATGATATACATATGTAAGCAAACCTAGTATCTTTTTTCATATCAGAATTAACTCCAAAGACAAAACTTTAAATTATTAAGGTTTTAAAACAAAAGTATCAAAATACTCAACCTTCAGTAATCTATTTAAACTAGGGTTAGCTAAGAACACGGGTTAACTCAGACTATGAGTGAAAGTATTCTACAAAGAACATTTGGAATAGAATGCAAGCACTGCAATGAAACCCACTCTTTAGCAAAGATAATTCAAACCCCATAAACTGAAAAATGCTTGCAATAATTAGCTATTACAATCAGCTACAACAGATGATATGAAACAGAGGTTTGGAACACATGCCCCGTAATCTACATAAAACCTAACAGCAAAGACCAACTTTATGAAAATATGAACATTGTATAAAAATCAAGCTATAATATTCCACAAAATTCATTTCAGCTACAAGTCTGTACTTAAATAATCTTACCAAGAAAAAGAAAATCATATCACCACTTGTCTTTCTTAAGCAAAGACTTTTGTTTTAACTTTGAAGAGCGCCGTTCTTTAGCTCAGTTTCTTTCTGGGCCACTGCTGACCTCCACTGCACCACCTCTTTTGAATTTTAAAGTCACAGCTTGCTCAGGAAACGCCACTCTTCACACTGGTTCCTCTACAGTCAGTGTGTAAAACGGGGTTGCCATGGATACAGGAAACTGAGAGACAGGAAGTAAGTTTATCTGTGCTTCAAAAGTATTGTTAAAAGGAAATCTCAGGGACCTATTTTTTTTTTCCAGAATGCATTCAGTTTTCCTAATATATGCCTAAATAGCTCCTACAACTTGAAAGATATTTTTAAAGCCAGATGCTTGAAAACTTGAGGTATTCAAAATATAAATAAGAAGTCTTTAGTTATCAACAACACGTCGTGTGTGTATGCATATGCATGCATACACTGCATTGTGTAGGAAGGCCAGAAATTGACATCAGTGCCCTCCTCTTTTATTCTCCAACCTTCTTTTTAAGCCAGGTTCTCATACTGAAACTGGGGCTCACTGAGCTCCTGAGATAAACTCCACTTCTCAGAGATAGGAGGACAGGCCGCACCACCACACCTGGATTTTTAAGATGGATGTTTGGGATCTGAACTCAGGGTCTCACACTTGCAAGGCAAGCAAGCACATTACTGACAGAGATATTTCCAGCTCAACAACACAAATTACTACATAACAAAAAGCACAATGAAATAAAAGTATATAAAATAATATGATTGTCTTCTTTTTTTTTATTTGTTTTTCAACAGGGTCTCAATATATAGCCTTGTCCAGCCTAAACTCTCTATGTAGACCAGGCTTGCCTTAAACACATAGAGAGTTGCCTGCCCCTGCCTCTGGAGCCTGGGATTAAAGGCATGCGCCACCACATCAAGAATGCTTAAATGCATTAACATTTTTATTTTCAAACACTTATTGAAGATTTATTCACTTAAAAACAGTACATAAAATCAACCAATAATTTAGAAGAATACAAAGTATTAATACATTATCTGCTGAGATTTTCTGTTACTGAAAAAAAATATGTACAGACTACTCTCAATTAGATATTAAGGCATAAGCCCTGGGGTTGGGGGATAATATAAAGTTTATCTTTGCATAAAGAGCTAGGGAGAAGAGTAGGTAAAATGCTCACCACGCAAGCATTATGACCTGCGTTGGGATCACTAGCGCGCATGTAGAAAAGCTGAGTGTGGCTGCATTACCTACAACCCTGGTATTAGTAAGGCAGGGACAGGAGGTAATCCCTGAGGCCTGCTGGCCTCCCATCCTCCTGAATGAGTCATCTACAGGGCTAGTGAGAGACCCTACTGTGGAAAAAAAAAAAAAAAAAAAGTGGAGAGAGACTGAGAAAGAAGTCCAAAGCTGAACTCTGGTTTTCATACATGTACACAGGTATACAAACAGGTATACACACACAGAGTTGGGAAGAGTAAAAGAGCCTCCTGAATTACTTTTCATACTATACAAATGTCTGAATTCATTTAAATACTTTAGTTTTAAAATGGAATCTGAATCTAACAAAATTTTTATTTAAATGAAGATTTAGGGGTCAGCCAGACAACTCAGCAAATAAAAGTGCTTGGCATACTAGCCTCATAACTTGAGTTATGTAGCTTTTCTACATAGCTCGGAATCCATGAAAAAAAAAAAAAAAGCCAGGCACAGTGTATCCATCCCTAATCTCAGTACTTCCATAGAGAGATGGGAGATGGAAACTAGAGAATCATCTAGAATCTTTCAAGCCAGCTAACTTGAAGTATACAGCATGTCAGGACAAAAAAAAAAAAAAAAAGACTCCGACTTAACAAAGTGAAAAGAGAGAACCAACTCTCAAAACTGTCTTGTGACCTTAATATATATGCTATATAAAACACACACATATCCCCTTACACAAGCAAATAAATAAAACAGACTTATAGAGTTGAATGAAATTTTTATATATTGTTTAGTCATTGATTTCTGGCTTTTAACCAATATTTTTTAGTATTATCAGTAAAATACAAAGTAACAGGGAGCACTATACACTCTATTTTCAATTAAATCACACAGATCAAGTAGGAAAGAATTACAGGACAAGTCTATTAAATTCAGAATAAAGAAATAGGAGAAACACAAGATCAGAACACATTAGTTCCCTCTCCTCTGTTACCTGTCCACTTCAGTGGTTTCTCTGTGCCGCCTTCACTATGAATTTTAGGGGTGAAGAGTGCCACTTGATTAGTCAATTCGCTTTCAGTAACTACAAATAGCCTTTATGAAATGACATAAAATTATTGAATTCTACCAAAAGAAATGTGTTCTTAAATTAGTACAGCATTACAATTTTTAATTTTTCTTCCAAATAGCAACATGCCCTTTATAGAACATTCCTTACAAATACAATCCCTAAGTTAAAACTTTAAACAAAATGTACACTGAAAGAAAACAACTCTATCGGTGTCTGCACAAACTGAATGAAATTCAGCTAGACAGAAAAACCAATAAACCAGGGGCAGGAAGATGGCAGAGCAGGTAGAGGCATCTGCCACTAAAGCCGACATTCAGTTCACAGGACCCATACTGTTGAAGAAGAGAAACCAATTTCCAAGCTGGCCTCTCATATCTACGCACCTGCAGTGGCACACACACTGAGCCAAAAAAAAAATAATAATAATTTATTAAAAACCTAATAGAATACATAGTGCCTTTATAAATACCAAATCCAACATTACTGTTTGCTTGCACAGGCACGGAGTATTTCAATGTCCCTTTGAAAATGACATTGCCAGGCAGCAGAAAGTTTGGTGATGCAAAAATACTATGCACTCAATAATTTAAACATGTTTCTTTTGGTAGAATACTTATTTTAAAAAATGAGCATTAAATCTATGTATTTTCCATTCTGAACCCAAATATAGCAGCATAAACAGTAACATTAATGTAAACAAGAAATTTCCACTAGCTCCCTACCATGAACTGCTTAACACAATTAATATATAGGAAGGATGCACCAAAGTATATATGTTTACAAATGATTTTCATGGCATTCAAAAGAGTCAATCAGTACACAACAATCAATCAACTATAAGTCAGAAGTCTTTGTATCAGGTAAGCTCCTCAAGGAAGGAATAGCTCAGCAGAACATCTTAAAACATGCTTCCACTACCAAGAGTAGAAAGGTCTCCATAAAATGATGTCTAGAGGCAGATGGCAGAATTTCTTGCAAGTGGCATCTAGGGGAAGGTGATAAGACCACAAGGGACACTACCCTTGGAAGGTATAAATGTAGTTTTTTTGGGACACCAATTAGTTCCCATGAGATTAAGTTGCTATAAAGAACAAGATGAAGGAGCTGGATGCTTAGATCAGTGTAGAACACTTTATCCAGCATGATTGAGGGTCAGGATTTCAGCCCCAAGGACAGAAAGAAAAGAAGAGAAAGAGAGAATCTTGCCTCAAAATCTTTCTCTTACACTTACGGTGGTGGCGCACGCCTTTACTCCCAGCACTCGGGAGGCAGAAGTAGGCAGATCTCTGGGAGTTCGAGGCCAGCCTGGTCTACAAAGGGAGTTCCAGGACAGGCTCCAAAGCTACAGAGAAACCCTGTCTCGAAAAAACAAAAACAAAAAAATAAATAAAAAATAAAAAAGGATTTATGAATAAAATACTACAAAAGACTCATTTTACTTCACAAGATGAAAATGAAGCAACATCTTCAAGAACATTATATACTTGCATGAAAATGGCCTTACATCCGTAGTAAAATCTAAAACAAAAATAAATGCATTTTTTAATGCTGGGATTAAAGGCGTGCGCCACCACCACCCGGCTAATAAATGCATTTTTTAAAGATGAAAATTTAAGTCTACTATGCCAATTATTCACTTAGGAACAATGAGGTCAGTCAAATCATAAGTCATAAGGCAGGAGACAGAAAGAAGAGAGTCTACAAGATTTTGAACTTCTAGCCTCCTACCCTGTGAGCCCATCAGCGCCTGCTTCTTTTTATAAAGCACCTATCCTTGTTGCCTTTTTCCTAATTAGACAACAAAATACTGCTCTTTGGAACCTACTTTTTTAACTGAAAATACTAGTCTAATGCTGTAGAATATTATATTTTAAGGTGTATTACTTTTGTCTATGCTCTGGAACATTTGTTTAATGATACAAAGATGTGTTTAATTAAATAAAATTCACCTGCAGTCAGAAGGCTGAGTCAGCAACTATTTGACAGAAAGTGGCAGGGAGGAGCCAGGTAGAAAAAGATTGTCAAGGAGGGATGAGGAGAAGCACAGGGGCCTCTGGAGCATGCATGAGGGAGAGAGGGTGAGCTAGGTGAGCTACCTGCTCTTTGGCCTCTCTGAGGAGCAGAATTTCACCTCAACATTTGAATCTTGAGTTCTTTAGAGGGACAGAGATTAAGATTAAACTCCCTTAGTAGCTTCCAAAGATTCGGTGCCTAAGAGAACAGAATTCCCTCAGGCTGCGGTTACCATAGAGTTGCAGCTGCTGATAGGACAGTCATGGATTAAAAGGCAGCAACGATTTAAAAAGAAAACAACAGTCTAAAGTATTAAAAAAAAATCACTCAAACATCCAGGGGTGGTGTCATACACTTGGAATTGCAGGAGGCAAGAGGAGGAAGTGGAGGATCAATGGCAGCCTGGTCCACACACTGAGTTTGAGGCCAGCCAGTGCAACACAGTCAGACATTGCCTTCAAACAAATGAATATCTGAAGGGAAAAAAGTAAAAAAAAATAACAAAAGCTTTAAGAAGTTTATAAAAATATATAATGACTTGGAAAATTCATAAAATTAAATTCCCAAATAAAACACTGCATACACTATTTTTGCGAAAAGTACAGTTAAAAGTATGCCCAATCAAAGCATAGTAAATCTGGTTTTCAGAAAATCTGATTACAAAACATTCTCTAAGAAAGCGAAACACATATGCACTCATTTTGTGGCTTTACTAATACCAGTTGATATCACTCAACTACCTTACATTATTTCTTTTTTTTTTATTTTGGACAGGGTTTGTCAGTAGTTTTTGAGCCTGCCCTGAAAACTGGCTCTTGTAGACCAAGCTGGCCTCAAACCCACAGAGATCCACTGCCTCTGCCTCCTCCTGAGTGCAGGGCTTGCACCACCACTGCCCGGTGGAAATTCAAATTCTTTTTTTTTTTTTTTTGGTAATGATTTATTTATTATGTATACAGTGTTCTGCCTGCATGTATGTCTGCAGGCCAGAAGAGATCTCATTACAGATGGCTGTGAGCCACCATGTGGTTGCTGGGAATTGAACTCAGGATCTCTGGAAGAGCAACCAGTACTCTTAACCTCTGAGCCATCTCTCCAGCCCCAAAATTCAAATTTTTAAAGCACTTCATCATCTCAAAGAACACGTCTGTGTGAAGCTC